AATATAATATTGAAAGCTTAGTTTATGCTGGTAATGGTATACAATTTTGTTGATAGTCGGTCAATCTTCCGACAGCCATTCTAAATACTTGAGGGTTTAGATAAATATTAGCATGCTTATTAATTACAAAATCAACGTGATTCCTGTCCATGTCAGGTACTAAATAATTCTCTAAAAGTTTTACTGGAAAAAGCAGTTTTTCATAAATATAATTGTCCAGGTAAAATAGTATTCTACTTTAACTAATAAAATAAAATACCATTTAATTTATTCGCCAATTTCTGAATATCTAGTAAATCAGCCAAAAGATCGTGATTTCCTTTAAAGAAAGCCATATTCTGTGAGGTTATGCTTTCAATGGGATAGTCGGGTGCCATAGGCTGTCCATATGTCTCAATATTTTTGTCGGCCCCGTAATCATAGCTATGAAAGCGTCCGTCGGTAATGAATTGTACGTATTGTTGGTATATCTTTAACGATGTATTTTGTAAAGNGGGTGCCATAGGCTGTCCATATGTCTCAATATTTTTGTCGGCCCCGTAATCATAGCTATGAAAGCGTCCGTCGGTAATGAATTGTACGTATTGTTGGTATATCTTTAACGATGTATTTTGTAAAGCTTTGGACACTAATACTGGTATTGCATCCTAAAGTCAAACATACAATTTGGGGCAATAATATTAGACATTAAATTTTATATAAGAATTGTAAATATTTTTGATAAATTAATTTGACATGAATGTATCTATTACAGGATCATCGTGGTATAGATGTGTGCCAAATAGATAAATCAATTTTGTAAAAAATATTTTAAATTTTCAGTTAATTGTGTTCTTTTGACATACTAATCACCCTGATGACAAGTATTTCAATGAAAATTTTGGAACAACGCGAATGTCATAGTCATTTAAGCTCTCATTTAAGCTATAACCCACCTTGCTGCGATTTCTAGTTTTGAAACAGTTATATTTTGAAAATCAGGAATCCCTATGGAAATATCAATGGGAGATTTTTCAATCAATAATTACTAGCAATAAAATGGTACCTAGGTGAAAGTGTATCATATATCAAAGAAAGAGATATTATTTATCTTTCAAACGATGTATCATTCGTTAAGCTCGGAATTGTATTTCTTGATTTAATGTTAAAAATATCAAATATATATAAACGTCGATTTATGCCATTGAATCCATTTATGTAAGTGTGATTAATATAAATTTAATATATTTAACAATAAATCAAGAAATACAATTCCGGGCTTAACGAATGATACACCGTTTGAAAGATAAATAAAATCTCTCGTTGATATATGATATACTTTTACCAAGCTACCATTTTATTGCTAGTAATTATTGATTGAAAAATCTCCCATTGATATTTCCATGGAGATTCCTGATTTTCAAAAGAATACTGTTTAAAAATTATAAATCGTAGCAAGGTGGGTTATAGCTTAAATGAAAGCTTATACTTTAGGTTTTAATTTGTATATTTTAGATTTTACCCTGCTACTATGTTGTGACCTGTGACTATTACATTCGCGTTGGTCCAAAATTTTCATTGAAATACTTAAGTCATCAGGGTGGTTAGCATGTCAAATGAACACAATTAAATGAAAGTTTACAAAATTGATTTATTTCAAGAACCATAGAAATGCGAGGAAAAACGCCGCGGCGCATTTTTATGGCGTATCCTTATGCAATTAACATGTCGTTGAAATTCGGGTATTAATGAGAGTAAAACAAACAGCCGTAGTTCCCGTTGAATGAAATGTAGCCAAATGAAAAAATTAATACTGTGAATGACAAGAGAGTGAGACCCTGTTAAGTAGGTTTTCAAAAATATGGGTTAATTAAGGTTCGTGTAGGCAACTCAGTGTAGACCAGAGACGGCCAAATTAGTCAAATGAAAAAATTAATACTGGAAATGACAAGAGAGTGAGACCCTGTTAAGTAGGTTTTCAAAAATATGGGTTAATTAAGGTTAGTGTAGGTAGGTCAGTGTAGCCCAGAGACGGCCAAATTTAGTCCAATGAAAAAATTAATACTGTTAATGACAAGAGAGTGAGACCCTGTTAAGTAGGTTTCAAAAATATGGGTTAATTAAGGTTCGTGTAGGCAACTCAGTGTAGACCAGAGACGGTCAAATTTAGTCAAATGAAAAAATTAATACTGTTAATGACAAGAGAGTGAGACCCTGTTAAGTAGGTTTTCAAAAATATGGGTTAATTAAGGCTCGTGTATGGAGCTCAGTGTAGACCAGAGACGGTCAAATTTAGTCAAATGAAAAAATTAATACTGTTAATGACAAGAGAGTGAGACCCTGTTAAGTAGGTTTTCAAAAATTTGGGTTAATTAAGGTTCGTGTAGGCAACTCAGTGTAGACCAGAGACGGTCAAATTTAGTCAAATGAAAAAATTAAATTTGGCCGTCTCTGGGCTACACTGACCTACCTACACTAACCTTAATTAAGGTTCGTGTAGGCAACTCAGTGTAGACCAGAGACGGTCAAATTTAGTCAAATGAAAAAATTAATACTGTTAATGACAAGAAAGTGAGACCCTGTTAAGTAGGTTTTCAAAAATTTGGGTTAATTAAGGTTCGTGTAGGTAGGTCAGTGTAGACCAGAGACGGTCAAATTTAGTCAAATGAAAAAACAGACAGGGGCTGTATATGGGACTCGACGGGTCGACCACCCGGGGTTCCCGTATGCTATCTCGACACCAAAGCCGTTGGATACCAAGTGCCCGGCGCTGTCAATAGACTGATGAGGGTCAGGAGGCGGACCTACAGCTCAAAGAGACGGCCAAAAAGACCCTGAAGTCGATGCCGTCGATAGAGTCGCTGAAGTTTAGCGTCAAATATATGACCGAAAATATTGTGAGGTTTACAATAAGGGACGCCAAGAATGCCAGATATGAGGTACCGGTGCAACAGGTGTTAGATCTCATGGATAAAGTGGAAAAGGATAAGACAAAGCGACGGTATTCAGTGGATGTCAGCACAGACTCCAAAGACTTCAAGTTCTCTATCACCCGTAAAGACACTAAAACTAAAGTGTAAGTTATGGTAATAAATAACGTCAAGTATTTTAACACTTATTTTATACTTTATATATAGATTTGATACATCCATTAGTGGGCTGGTATTCGCCGACCAGTTCCTACAATTAGCCACCAATTTGGCCACAAAAAACGTCTACGGGTTTGGTGAGAATGTACACCAGTCCATAAGGCACGACCTTAACTATAGGACTTGGGGTCTATTTGGTAGGGACAAACCACTCAGTGAGATATGAAAATTTAAATGTATAATTTTAAATACTATACCAACATAAACATTGATTTTTTATTAACTGTATATATAAAACTTCTTTGTAATATAAATTACGTCAAACATAATTTTAACCTAGGGCACTGATAATCTCTACGGTGTCCACCCGTTCTATATCGTACTGGAAACGGATGGCAAAGCGCACGGAATACTGTTCTTCAACAGCAACGCCATGGGTTTGTTTGGAGACGTTATTTATGAATGTTTAAAATTTTAACCGTAACCTTGGTTATAGAGTACACACTTTTACCCGACCCGGCCTTATCGCTGAAAACGTTGGGCGGAGTTCTGGACTTTTTCGTGTTTTTGTGCGATAATCCCGAACACGTGATACAGTTGTATACGTCGGTCATCGGGCGTCAAACGATGCCTCCCTTTTGGGGACTCGGGTACCAACTGTGCCGATACGGGTATACCGGTACCAAAAATCTGCGCGAGGTTATCGATCTAATTTGAACGTTAAAATACCCTTGGTGAGTATTAGTTAAATAACGTAATTTATTGTAATAATTTAGGTTGTTAGTCATTTATTTAAATATACACTACATGTCTGGCATAAATGCTTTGACTTATATGTAAACTACATTAAAGCAGAGCTAAAATTATTATTTTGTTAATTTACATCAAATGTGTTTATAATTTATTTAAACAATTAAAATAATTTTTAACAACTTTTAATCTAAACCTAGGATACAATGTATATCGACATCGACTATATGGACCGATACGAAGATTTCACGTACGATAAGTCGGCGTTCGCTGGACTACCGGAGCTGTTTAAGGATACCAAAACCAAGAACCAACTTCACTGGACCCTAATCCTGGACCCGGGTATTGAGGGCAACAACAAACAGTACCAGACGTTCAGCGAGGGCTACAAAAACGACGTGTTCGTCAAATGGCCTAAAAGTGTGGACCCGAAGGACCGGTTTAACCCGCCGGACGCCCCCACCAATAAGGACACCGTATATGGTAAAGTGTGGCCGAGTGGCCCGGCTGCTTTCCCGGATTTTTTCAACAATGAGACCCTGGTGTTGTAGCAGGGACAAATTAAAAACCTGCACGATATTTTGCCGTTCGATTCGTTGTGGATTGTATGTAGCTCATTTTTAAGATAGTGTTTATATTGTCCATAGGATTAATATGGATATATTTAATTTTTTATATTAGGATATGAACGAGCCCTCCAACTTTAACGCCAGGTGCCCGAATAATAAGTACGACTTCCCGCCAATCAGATCGGGTAATTAATCGGGTAATAATAATTTATAATAGGGTACTAATTATTATAAATCTCACCAGTCAACATTATCGGCAACCAACTATCGGCCTCCACGTTATGCATGGTAGCTATCCAGGGTGAAAAGGGTGAATATAAGCACTACGACGTGCACTCCCTATACGGACTTGTAGATCTTTAATCCGGTGGCCAGGGGTCTGATTGGCTGGATATTGAGAGACCTGGTTGACACTGAGTTGCAGGCTATTGATGTACCTGGTGACATTTTAAATAAATAATATTTAGTAGAAAGTTATGGTATTTATTATAGTGAGTTATTTATTAGTTAATAGGTGTATAAAATTTTTAAATAAGATTGCAATAGACTTACCAACCGTACACTATTTGGACAGTTTTTTCACTGTGTTTTAAGGAGCAAATAGTGAATTATGAATGTCCAATAGAAACCTTAAATGATAATTATAAAAACATTAGAATTTATTAATAAAATATTAGGGTTATGCAAAGTTTTGATAGGTGAAATATAGTCAGTAAAAGTTTATTTATTTGTGAACCAGGTAATTTAAATA